CTCCGACTGTTGCCACCCCCTCGGCCAACTCCGACCAACACTCACTACCCATCATAGACCACCACTTTTTTCGTGCAGCAAAGTCCCTTGTAGAGCCACAAAGTGCACTACAGAGTCTCAACGTACATTACAGGGTAACGAGACATTCTGCAAAACAACACACCTCGCGTATGGTGCAACTACAGTCATTGCAGCCAGACTACGATTATTATCAATGAACATATGTTTTATATTTATAATAATTAACATTGTAATTCCATTTTCCCCATTTCAAGAGAAGAGCGAACATGCGTACTCATCATTCATAGTGGATTGATTCTTTCAACTAGGCTAGGTCATGTGGTTTTTTCCCTTCTTCATGATTTTTCATATAAAAAATGAGGTGTCTCCTCCTGCTTACTTTTTCTAAATTATTTTGAGTGTGTGATGGGTTTTTGTGCAACGCTAAGACGATAATTCGCTATTCTACCACCACAGATTTTCTGACACACGTCAATTTATGTAGAATAAATTTTCTGGCATTGATATCATTTTAAACTGAATATAATAGATAAATATTTTATCATATGCTTTTTCAAATCTTAGATTTTGAAACATAAAAATTTCATAAATATTTCGGTTAAATGGTTCTAGAATCACATTTCATTATCACATAATAATTATTTTTTTTCTTTTTTCATTTGCGTAAATTTAAAATAATAATAATTATTATTATTTCAATGACTTACATGAAACCGAATTCCCAATTTCATTAAATAAATATGATATACCACCCAAGCCAACTCCAAGTAATTTATGAATTAAAAGGAATCAACTCAGGTCAACAGTGCTATTCATTTAACCCAATTTGCAGCAATACTTAATCAACTAAGCTAACCATGTTTTTAACCCTGGTTAACCAAGATTAAGGTTATGGTTGAGAATAAACATGTCATTAATTCTAGGTTAGTCAACCCTAAGCTAAAATAAATTATTTGATGAATAAATAATACGTCTAATATCCTAATCCTAGCACTCATATATTCAACCAACTAAACATTATCTTTTCCTTTGCATCAATCATGTTTTCTGTCCCAAGTTTCATGTATTAAAGAACTGAATGCAAAAATGGTCATTTAAGAATGTAATCTTAACAAATTTAACTCAAATATTAAAATGTGAAGGTTTTATATTATATTTATATGCAAAATGTTTGATGTGAGAGATTGATTATATGGTAGTGCCCGTTTAAAATCAATGCATTAACCTTTAATCTTATGTGACATTGATTATCTTTATATTTATTATATATTTTTTGAAGAAATAAAATATATAATGAAATGATTACTTTACATCAATACGAGGGCAATTTTGTGATTGAGGAGTATTTTTTTTATTACATATGGAAGTATTATAAAGTTCAAAACGTAATCACAATAAGGCGGGTATACTTGTTATTTAAAGATGAAGACATATCGTGGTTAAATTTCTTTATTGTAACTAATATGACATATAGATTGATTTTATTTATTAAAAAAATAAATTTTGGCTTTATAGGCCTCATAGATGTTAAAGTAGTTCAAAAGCAATCGCAATAAATTTTTGACTCTAAGCATTGATAGCATTTGATTGAGATAATGTTAGCATCGGCCTAGTGGCCTTATGGTTTTGCACTGTTGGTGTAATTTCGCAGGAGGTGTGCTCTCAGGTGAGCATGCTTAACTCAAGATCAAAACTTGGCTATGATAGAATTTGTGATAGTCTAAACTCTCATCCATCGAGTGATTGTCTGTTTTGGCCTGAGCCATCGGTGTCGACCAGGATGCTATCCACTTGGTAATTATTAATGAGTGTCATAACAAAGATTGCTTCATTGGACTGGTCCCCAACCTATGACTTTTTTGGGTTGGACTGTTGAGGAAATCGCCCACCTCCTCCAAAAATGGCCTAAATGATTTCAACCAAATGGATATTGTTTGCTCGAACGGGTCTATCCTTGAGCTCCTTTGTCGAGGCCTTTCCCTGTCGACGTGTGTGCCCTGATGGCAATGAATTCTTTCAGCTTGTCGACCCTGATGAGCTCTTTCACCAAGTTCTAGAGGTGGCGGCACTCTTCTGTGTCGTGTCCGTGGTCCTGATGGTAGGCACAATACTTGTTGGCATTACATGGTGTCATTGTAATTTTTAGCATAGGGGCCTTCTTAAAGTAGTCGTTATTTTTAATGGCCTAGACTAACTCGGTCATGGACACATTCAGTGGTGTTGTCCCTTGCATCCTCGATACACATGTTGTTTCTCATAGTACCGAGTCGATTGTTAATATGGATAGTATTTGCAGTGCTTTGCTGCCTCGATCACTCCCTCGACCTTTCCAGAGTCGTGGATTTTCGGTCTGTAGGCCACCAGGGGCTCGATTGTTCTTTGGATTCTTGTCGTCGTTCCGACCTTTTTGCTTCTATGGCCGGCGATCAGACGCCCCTGGTTTGGTTTCTAAAGAATCTTTGAGATTCTCATCGACAGAGATGTGTTTATTAGCCAATTGCATGACTCTACGAAGGTCCTTGGTCGGAGCAGGTTCAATTCATACATGAACCAGTTGATGTGGATCCCCTGTTTGAAGGCGGTTCAGGCGATTAGTGGTTCCAAGTTCTTCACCTCCCGCATTTCCTTTTGGAAGCTGGTAATGTAAGCTTGTAGGCTTTCGTTTTCTCCCCGTTTAAACTAGACAGGGTCTCTATGTCCTTTCTCAGTTTTTGCACATTAGCAAAATGCGATTGAATGAGTTTGCAGAATTCGAAGATGGGCGGGATGATGCCATCTGGTAAGCTATTGACCCATGAGAGTGCGACTTCTTTCAAAATGATCAGAAAAAACCAGCACTTCATGGTGTCATTGGCCTATAGAACTTTGAGTGATGACTCGTGAAACTCTGACTGATAAATTGAAAGAAGCTAGGTGGTCAGTCAGATCAATCTTTCCTTTATAGGAATCAAAGTGAGGAATTCTAAGCTTCGTTGGGGGGACAACCTCCATGCTTCTCTGAGAGAAAGAATTAACCACCATCGACCTAGTGGGAGCTCCCTCTCATACCTCCCGATGTCTTGCGATTGGTATGGATTTTGCACTGTCGGCGCTCTGGGAGTCTTCTTGCAATTCAGTCAGTAACTCGCTAACCTATCCTCTTGGCGCCGCTGGGTTGAGGGGGGCTATCTAAGGGCAAGCTCCCCGAGATTCTACCTCCAAGGGTGGCAGTTGGACTTTCTTCTGGGTTAAGGTCGCTTTGGAGTGCCTCAAATTGGTCCATAATCTGTGCTTGAAGCGCCTGTACCTCTTTTTATATATCATGATGCACCGTTTCTCTGTTAAATTCCATGTGTGCTGCGTCTCTTCACAAGGATTCTCCTTCATAGTTGGCCTCGCTTCACGTCTGGGCATGTTCACACTCACCACACCACATTTCAAGATGTTGGATTCTAAATTGTCCTTTGTGAAAATACACATCGAGAGTTAGAGTCAAGAGAAGGAGGATGAGAAAGAGTAATCAAGAAAGTCCCTCTCGGGAATCATGGAGAGGACATTTTATTCGTCTATTTGCCTTTTACTTATAAGAGCGTATTTGTATAGTTATAGAAAGAAGAGAACAATTAAAGAAATCGTCTTTAATACAATTTAATAGTTATAGAAAGAAGGTCATGCATGTTGCCTCTCTTTGCCGTTGGACATTATTCTGGGATCATATTTCTGTAGCCTAATGCCTCGATTGTCCAATCACGCTCTAAGCTGCATGATTGCTTTGAGACTCATGCTGATGATTTTGATGCATACAAAAATAGAATTTTTCAAACAGACCAATTATTTCTGAAATATCAACTTTTAAACTGTAGATTTTCCATAATAATTTTTGAATCGAAATTTTATACAATCACAACCGAACCAAACACACCATTAAGTTAAACCATGCTCTAAATTCATTACCAAACAGACCTTAAGTGAACTTGGCTCTAAGAAAAAATAAAATAAATATAAAAAATTAAAAAATGATAACAAACTCTAAATTACCCTATTTGCTTCTTAACATTTTCCATCATAAACATTTCAAACAAAACAATATCCCAAATTTGAAATCACCATAAAAGCTAGCGAATGATATTGATGGGAATGAACCAAGCGAAGAAGAGAAAGTAAACCGACAAAACGGAGGTCTGTCATTCTGACCTCGAGGGCAGAACGAACCCGGCTCGCTATCTTCTTCACCAAGCCGCGTGCGGTCTTCGCTCCTCTCTCTCTCTCTCTCACTCTCTCTCTTCTTGCACGCGCCTACACAGGTACCCGGCAACTGCAAAAGCAAGATATAACCAAGTTGGTCCTCCTCCTCCTCCATAGCCCTATCTGCACTGGTGATGGCGATTTAGAGTTAGGGTTTCACCCTCGACCTCCTCTCCGTCACTGCCCTACCATCTCTCTTTTTCGGATCACTGTTTTCTCGTACTCCTTATTCATTTCTCTCTACCATGTTGTTACTCCCTTTTTCGCCCCGCGGAAATGCCTTGGTGGAAGTCCTCTTCCTCTTCTTCTTCTCCGTCTTCTCCGTCTCCGAAACGTTCATCGTCTGCCGACTCTTCGCCGTTGAAGTCCACGCGTAGGGATTTTGGCTTTCTTTGGAGCAAGCGGGGTGAATCGCCGAATAGACCGCAGTCGCGGCACCAGCGGCAGTGGAAACTCCAGCCGTTTGATTCTGCGAGCTCCACTTCCCCTGCAAACCTTGAGTCATTGCCGTACCGGTCATCGTCATCGCCCGGGCAGTTCGCTCAACCGCTGCCCTTGCCGGCGTGCCCGCACAGTAATGGTGGCTGTGGTGTGGCAGCGGCAGCTGCTTGTAATGGTGGGTGTGAGAGTTGCCGGCGGTCTTCACCGATGGGGGCTCCAGGGGGTTTGGGGGGGGGAGGGGGGGGGGGGG